TTGTTTTCTTCTTTTTCTTCGTTTTCGTTTTTTGTTTTGTTTATTGTTTTGTTTTTTTCTCTTTTTTTTATTTGTTGTTTTGTTTTTTATTTTGTTTTATTTGTTGCTGTTTTGTCTTTCTTCTTTTTTTATTGTTTTGTCTTATTTCTGTGTTTTATTTGTTTTGTTTTTTTCCTTTTGTTTTATTTTTTTCCTTTGTTTTATTTTTTTCTTTTTGTTTTATTTTTTTCTTTTTGTCTCTTCTTTTGTTTCTTCTCTCTTTTTTCTGTCTCCTTTTTTGTTTATTATTTTCTCTCTTTTTCTGTCTCTTTTTGTATATCTCTTTGTCTCTTTAATTGTCTCCTTACGCCGTATGTCTTCTTCCTTATATAAACCCTAAACCCTAAACCCCAAACCCTAAACCCTAAACCCTAAAAAGGAGTTGACGTTTTGTTTGTTTAGTTGTTTTATTGTTTTGCTTGTCGTTCTATAGCGAGTACTTGTTTTCTATTCTGCTGCTGCTTCTTTTTCTGCTGCTGCTGCTGCTGCTTTTGCTGCTGCTTTTGCTGCTGCTGCTGCTGCTGCTGCTGCTGCTGCTGCTGCTGCTGCTGCTGCTGCTGCTAGGAGAAGAAGCTCCTCTGCTGCCCCCCCAAGAAAAAACCAAAACCCTCGTCGCCAGCTACGAGCAGAGGCTGGGGCAGGAACTCCCCATAGGTACGCCAAACCCTAAACCCTAAACCCTAAACCCTAAACCCTAAACCCTAATCCTCACCAAACCCTAAACCCTAATGCATGGTGTGTGTTGCGGCGTCAGGGGCGAAGTGCGGGCAGCAGGCGGCGCGGTGGCATGCAGCGCAGCACTGGAAGGCTCAGCTGCTGCTGCAGCTGCATGCGCTGCTGCAGCCTGCTGCAGCAGCAACACTCAAGTCCTTTCCTGCTGCGCTGCTGCAGCAAAATGCTGTATGTTGCTGCTGCTGCTGCTGCTCCTGCTGCTGTTGGTGCTGCTGCTGCTCCTGCTGCTGTTGCTGCTGCTGCTGCTCCTGCTGCTGCTCCTGCTGCTGCTGCTCCTGCTGCTGCTCCTGCTGCTGTTACTGTTGCTGCTGCTGTTGCTGTTGCTGTTGCTGCTGCTGCTGCTGCATGCAGAAAGAGAACGAGTATGAATACATAAAATAGTATATGCTAAAATAAAAATAAAAAACTAAAAAATAAATAATAATAAATTAAATAATAAAATAAAAACTATTGTTTCTTTTTATTTACTTTTTTCTTTTCTTTCTATTTTATTTCCTTTCTCTTTTTTTATTTATTTATTTTATTTCTTTCCTTTCTTTGTTTTTGTTGATTTTATTTTTTTTTTAGCTTTTTTATTTTTTTTTTATTTTTATTTTTCTTTTTTTGTTTTCTTTCTATTTTATTTTTTTGTTTCTTTTTTTTCTTTTTTTTTCACTTCTTTTTCTTTCTCCTATTTATTTTTTTAATTTAATTTGTTGTATATATTTTTTTTATTTTTTTATTTTTTTTATATTTCTTGTTTCTTTTTTTTTTATTTTATTTATTTTCCTTTTTTTTCTTTTTTGTTTAATTCCTTGTATTTATTTCATTTCTTTTTTTTCTTTTTTATTTAATTTATTTTATTTATTTATTTTTTTAATTTATTTTTTATTTAATTTATTTTATTTATTTATTTTTTTAATTTCTTTTTTTTCTTTTTTATTTATTTTATTTTATTTATTTTTTTATTTTTTTATAAATTTTTGTCTCAGTTTCACTCTGCTTCTTTATTTGACGACTGGGAGGAGAACATCATCAGCCTGCCCATACCCAAATAACCTAAACCCTAAACCCTAAACCCTAAACCCTAAACCCTAAACCCTAAACCCTCAACATACAGACCCACAAACACTCATCACTGCACACCAAAGCAGACCCGATGGGGGCCCCCTTCAGTTGTTTAAGTGAAGGGGCCCCCCAGGGGGGGCCCCTTCAGCAGCTAAACCAGGGGGCCCCCCCGGGGGCCCCCTCAGTGTTTACAGCACCACGGGGGGCCCCCAAGGGGCCCCCCTGGCGGCCCCCTGGTTCTTTGAAGGTGGGGGGCCCCCGGGGGCCCCCAACAGTACCCTCAGGCTCAGGGGGGCCCCCAGGGGGGCCCCCCGGGGGGCCCCCACAGGGGCCCCCTGAGTGGTTAGAGGGGAGGGGCCCCCCTGTGCTGGGGGCCCCCTTCCTCCTTTGTGTTTTATATTGGTTTATTTGCTTGGGGGCCCCTCTCTCTCTTTGTTTGTTTCTTTTGGTTGGGTAGGGGGCCCCCCTAAACCCTAATAAACACCGTTTGCTTTCTTTATAAATTGTGAGGGGCCCCCAGCGGGGGGCCCCTGTGCTGCGTGCAGCTGTGGGGTTTGGGCGCGGGAGCCTTAGAGGGGGCCCCCCGCTGCTGCTGCTGCTGCTGCTGCTGCTGCTGCTGCTGCTGCTGCTGTACCCTGCTGGGGGCCCCCAAGGCGGCAGTGTTAAGGTGTGCGGGGTGTACGTAGAGCGGAGGTGTTGTTGCTGTTTTCTCTGTTTGTTTGTTTTTTTTATTTGTTTTTTGTTTATTTGTGTTTTATTTATTTATTTATTTATTTATCTACTTATTTATTTATTTATTTTGTTTGTTTGTTTGTTTGTGTGTCGGTGACTGTGCTTCCGCTGCAACCCAAATAGAAACAGGAGCAGCACCAGCAGCAGCAGCAGCAACAGCAGCAGCAGCAGCAGCAGCAGCAGCAACAGCAGCAGCAGCAACAAGAAGAGAGTAAAGATGTAAAGGTTTGTCTTTGCTGCAGCAGCAGCGACAGTGCGTCTGCTGTCTCTGCGTCTGTCCCTCCCTGCTGCTGCTGCTGCTGCTGCAGCACGCATGCATGCAACAGCAGCAGCAGCAGCAGCAGCAGCAGCAGGAGCAGCAGCAGCAGGAACTAAGATAAGTAAGCAGCAGCAGTGATTCTTTCTGCTTGTGGATTGAATGAAGGCCGCAGCAGCAGCAGCCCGAAGAGAGACTGTATCCTTTGTCTCAGCCCCGCCAGCAGCAGGTTGCTGCTGCGCCCGCGCTGCAGCAGCAGAGCCTCGCGCTGCAGCAGCTCAGCTACCTCAGCAGCAAGAGGATCGTTGTGTTGCTTCACTGCTGCTGCTGCTGCTGCTAGTACCTGCAGACGCTGGGGGGCCCCCAGGGGGCCCCCACACAGCTGCATGTATAGCGCATGCAGAGCGCATGCAGCCTCTGTTTCAGGTGTATATACAGCTGCTGTGTCTCCGCTTGATTGTACCCATATAAGGGGCTCCGTCATCTTCGTCAGCAGCTGCTGCTGCTGCTGCTGCTTCCTTTGTTTCTCTGCTTGCTGCTTCAGGCCCTCTATACGCTGCAGCAGCTGCGTCTCCTGCTGCAGCAGCAGCAGCAACGCATCACGCTTCTGTTTGTTTGGGTTTTGTTTACTTATTTGCTGCTGTTGCTGCTGTTGCTGCTGCTGTTGCTGCAGTGATAAAAGGACTTGCTGCGGTAAGCCTTGCTGCTGCAGCAGCTGCAGCTGCTGCTGCTGCTGCTGCTGCTGCTGCTGCTGCTGCGATGCTGCTGCTGACAACCAAAGTTTTATTTTGTTTTCTTCTTCGGCTCTCCATGCCTCTACCTCTGCATGCAGCAGCGAGAAATCAGCAGCAGTAGTGGGGCTGCCTCCTCTCTGCTGCTGTTTTTTCTTTCTTACTGCTGCCTCCCACTGTTTCCGCTGCTGCTGCTGCTGCTGCTGCTGCTGCAGCATGTCTCTCTGGCGTCGCCGCTGCTGCGCCTCACGCTTTGCTGCCCATGCTCTTGCATGCTGCTGCAGCACAACAGCAGCTTTCTCTCGCCGCTGCAACCACTCATCTGCTGTTATATATACACCTGGCTGCTTCTCTTTGTCCTCAGCAGCACTAAAATATACACCCTTGTTGCTGCTGCAGCTGCTGCTGCAGCAAGAGGCCTCGCGCATGCATTGAGAAGAAGAAGACACAGATGTATACGTCTGTGTAGATACACTGCAGCGGCTCCGCAGCACAAAGCTTACACCTATAAACAACATAAATAAATAAATAAATAAATAAATAAATAAATAAATAAATAAATAAATAAATAAATAAATAAATAAATAAAATAATTAATTAATTAAATAGAGAAAGAAAGAAAAAAAAAGAAAAAGAGAGAGAGAAAAAAAAAAGGAATGGGGAGAAGATAAACCACCAAAAACACAAATAAACAAAAACCCTAAACCCTAAACCCTAAACACTGCAAACCCAACTAACCCTAAACCCTAAACCCTAAACTCAACCATCAAGAAGAGACCTATGCATAGCTGCAGGGGAGTGAGCATGTTGCGAGCTATTAGGGTTTAGGGTTTAGGGTTTAGGGTTTAGGGTTTAGGGTTTAGGGTTTATTGTCTAGGGTTTAGTTGGGGTTTATAACGGATTTAGGGTTTAGGGTTTATTAGGGTTTAGGGTTTTCTATGGGTGGGTTTAGTTGGCGTTTATTAGGGTTTAGGGTTTATTAGGGTTTAGGGTGTATTAGGGTTTAGGTTTATTAGGGTTTAGGTTTATTAGGGTTTAGGGTTTACTAGGGTTTAGGTGTATTAGGGTTTAGGGTTTACTAGGGTTTAGAGTGTATTAGGTTTTAGGGTGTACTAGGGTTTAGGTGTATTAGGGTTTAGGTTTAATAGGTGTATTAGGGTTTAGGGTTTACTAGGGTTTAGGGTTTCCTAGGGTTTAGGGTTTACCAGCGGCTGCATCGGTGAGGAACTCAGGGTGGTTTAGGTCCTCAAGCGTCAGCACTTGTTCTTCTTTTTTGTTTTCTGTTCTGTATAAGTAAACCCTCAACACCCCAAACCCCCCACCAGGGCCCCCAAACCCTAAACCCCCCAAAGTCGTGCTCCAAGGAAGCGGAGACGGGGGGCCCCCAGGGGGGCCCCCAGAGGGGCCCCCCATGGTACCCTCTGAGGGGCCCCCAGGGGGGCCCCCCGAGGGGCCCCCCAAGGTACCCTGTGAGGGGCCCCCCAAGGTACCCTCTGAGGGGCCCCCTAAGGTAGCTTCCTGGGGGCCCCCAGGGGGGCCCCCCGGGGGGCCCCCCCCTACGGTACCCTGTGAGGGGCCCCCTGAGGATGCGTGGGTTGCGGTGGTGGTGGTGGTGGTGGTTGGGTGGTTGGGGGGAGTGATGGCGACGACCAGAGCGGGTACGCGGAGGTCCGCCTGTACTTTGTTTTTTATATCCCATAGAGTGGTGGTGATAGAGAAATGCTGAAGCCGTTTGCTGCGGCCAGGAAGAAGCAGCAACTCAACCAGAACAGAATCAGAAGCTGGAGAAATTAAACACTCATCAGCAGCAGCAGCAGCAGCAGCAGCAGCAGCAGCAGGAGCTGCTGCTGCTGCTACTGGTGCTGATGAGAAGTCGCCCTCGGAGAAGGGGAAGGCTGCTGCTGTTGTGTCTTCTACAGCAGCAGCTGCTGCTGCTGCTGATGATGTTGCAGCAG